AATGATTTGATTGGTTGAGTTGTCATCGTTTTCCCTACTTGAACATATTCATACTCCATCCGTAGCCCGACTATATTGTTGCTTAATTACTTGGTTATTTCTCGTTGCCTTTCGTGTTCCCCTTATCTTCACTGTTGATTGTAAGTTGAATTCTTTCTGCTATTGGCCTTACATTGACATTCTTTCCTTGTTAGGTTTATGTCATATCCCGCACAAGTTTACATATCCGGTAGATGTTTTGACCTAGCCTCGTCACTATTCTTTCGAGGTTAGGCTTGATACTTACTAAGTACCACTGTGGTGTACTCATGCGATGCTTCTGTACATTTTTTTGTGCAGAACTAGGTACTTCGGATCGAGTTGGTTTTGAGACTTATGCTTGTGCGGCTGGAGACTTCAAGGTACACCTACTGGACGTTTGCAGGCTCCGTAGTCACCTTCTATTGTATTTATTTCCATTGTTTTTCATTTATTCTGGAACAGTAATGTATTCATTTTACGTAGTTACTCTTAGAAAGGCTTATGACTTGTACTACCGGTTTTGGGGTTGTGTAACTGTTGTTGGTTCAGTGATGTTGTTACAAATATTATTTCAAGTATTGTAGTTAAATGGGTTAAAATTCCACTGATAAGCAGCAAGTTTTAGGCTCACCTAGTTTTAGAGACTAGGTGCCATCACGACATTCTACGGAGGAAAATTGGGATCGTGACAAAATTTTACAATTACAAAGAATAGGGCAGTAGTAGCTAAAATAGTAAAATGAGACAAAAAAAAAAAAACTATAAAATATAAAGCAAATAAAGATCTAATTGATGATGTATATATGTTTTTATGCTGGCGAATAGAAAAGAAATACACTTACCTTAAGGCTATGTACAAAATATAGTCCTCGAAGCCACAGTATAAATCATTGTTGTGAAAACAATTCTACCGCAACAGAATTTTTAAGTCTTATAATTATATAACATAATTTTTTTTTATCATTTTATTGAGAATAATTTAATTTTTTTGAAAGGATATAATAATTACTAACAAAATAAGACTTGTGATTTTGGCGTTTTATTTTCATCATACAATTAAAAATATTGTTGCATTTATCTAATATTAGAGATTTTTAAGCAATTTTATTGATGCCAAAAATATTTTATGTTATTAAGTAATAAGGAGATAGGTAATATTTCTCAACTATTTCCGATTATTGTTGCTTTAAAACTTCTCAATTCTTGTTTGCTCCAAAAAGCAGAACCGCAGTAATTTTTCCCTCTTTTTTCGATAATAATTCCCACATTACTTTTCTTCTTTTAATTTTACTATGCCTCAAGGTATATATATACTCTTTCAACAATTTCGTGCTGATACTGCCTTCTATCCCTGTGAAATTCTTTTTCGCTTACAACTTGCATTTCAGTGTGTGCCGTTTCTTTCTTCATCTGCTTTCAATTTTGACTAGTTTAATTACGTTTAAGTATTGTTTATTCTTCTCAATTTATAGGCGTCCTTACCATATCGGTGCGGTTTTGAGATCGAGGGTATGAAGTAATTTTCCGTTGGCCCCAATGTTTCATGTTTAAATGGTTTTTTTTCACTTATTTCAGGGCTTGAAGGATGTATCAGTGTGGTTTTCTGGAAAGGGAAGTATCCGTTAGGGCAAATCAAAGGGTATATAGAATGCCAGCTTACTCGTATTAAGGTGGTTTTTCCTTTTCTTTAACTCAATTTTGTTTTCTTTAATCTCAGAGTAAGCCAT